AGTAAACCGCTGCAAAGGGGTTTTGTTTAAATATGAGAGAGACTTGGTCCCGAGAAGATGAACACCCGGCCTGCATGTGTATGTAATTCCCGCGTCTTCCGTTTAGCTACCAGAGGCCCTGGGGTTCAGGCTACCTCTCCGAGTTTCCACTTTCGTTTACCCTAAATCTAATCTAAAGAGTACAGTACTCTTTTGGGTGGCCAAAATTATTCACATTTTGAGTGTGGGTTATGGAGAACGCTAATCAAAATTTTAAAACAACATGGGGAACATTTTTTAATGAACTTGAGAGCTGTACTGCTTTGGGTCTATGATACACATACTGCTTGCTACCTGACAGTCATAACGCCCCTCTGCACACAGGATTCGGGCTGGTCCTCCCACAGTCCCAAGGGATGTGTGTGACTCTGGTCTACACCCAGGGAAGCTGACCAGGCCCAGATCCGGGGCAATAAGTGACAAGAATGCAGGAAAAACTAATGATCTTTTTGAAGCTAACAGCAATCTCCAGATCCTTACTCTTCTATAGTGAGCACTCCAAGTTCAAATTTACAGGTATGAAGGTTTTGAAATATAAAGGAAAGATTAATCTAACGCGCTTAATTTTTTACCATTGGGTTCTTGTAAAAAGTCCCACAACTAGAAATACAGTACTTGAAATTGTCTGCCCCTCCAAATTGTTTAAAATCTCTAAGTTTGACTTGATAGAGATTTCACCGGGTCTGGTCCCCAATACCTGTTGTGTGGCCCCCACAAGCGCTTTACAGCGCGTACGTTCTTTGGGGATCAAGCAGTTAGAACCAGCAGCTCCTTCTTGGGGCTGGCGTGCAAATTAGTTAAGACTGTGATATCTCCGGGGAGCTTACGATTTTGCCTTAGGCTTGTTTGTAGGAATAAGCATGCTGGGCATCTTGATCAAGAATCCCCCTGACTCTTCCCCCACAGAAACACATAGTAGCAACCTGCTTTGCTCAGACTCTGCTGTGCTCCAGTGCGCCCAGTGAAGGCTTCTCGGACTCCGATGGGCTGCCGGGTCGGTAGAAGGCTATTCCGCCCTGAGACTGACAAGACCCAGTGCCCCGATGTGGGTCTATGAGCTCTGGGAAGCCTTCAGCCCAGAATGACCCAGAGACTCGTGTTGTTTAGAGTCCGGGTTAGGTGGCCCTGATACTCAACTCCTCGTTCCCTCGTCTTCGGCTGACTCATCTCCCGCGTTCTTGAACAGGTCCGCCGCTCTCTCTCCATTTCCACCTGCTGGACTTTGCATTGGCCGTGCGTGGTCTTAGCTGCGGTGGAGCCCTACTCCGCGGTAGCGGGATGGCCACACTACGCCTCCAGGGGGAGGGCGGACTAGAGCGTTTCGCGCTCTCAGCTGAGCGCAGTCCCTAGCGCGCACATAGAATCCTTGGTGGTTTGGAACACTAAGTGTCCGCGGCCAGCCGAGGCTGGGGCTCCTGGGGCAAGAGGAGTCGAAGCTTCAAGGGCTCCTAGAGGAAGGGACTGATGCTGAACCCTCCTGGGGACGCACACCGACTGCTCTGGCCAGGTAGCTGGCGGCTGGATGAAGGAGAGACAAGTGACCTGAAAAAGGGACAGAGACAGACGGAAGGAGGGGAGGAAGGAGGGAGAGACTAAGGGATAGTAAGCCTCTATGGTAGACGTAGGGGTACAGGATTGCGAAAAAGAGCAAGGGTCAGCTGGGGTCAGTGCCCCTTGTTTACTGCCCGCTCCGGACCCCGGAGATCACACAGAGATCGGAAGAATTTCGACTAAAAGAAATTTAAGACCAAAACCAAAACACAACCAGTACGGCCTGCAGCTGACACAGGCTGGGGAGAAGCCAAAAGCCCTTTCCAGGGCGCTGTCGAGGCCTCCTCTGAGGGAGACCCACTCTCTGGGTAAATATTTATTCAGTGGGAGACTGGAAACTGGCCGGGCGGGGCGTGTGAAGCAGGGGGCCACAGCGGGGAGAGAATCCGTAGGCTCAGCAGTGACCCGGACAAACACATCGGTCCGGCCCGAGGGGACTCAGGGCCCGGGACTCCAGAGGCGGCTCAGCCTGGGCACGCGGCTGGGAGAGCTTTAGCCGCAGCGCGCAGTGTTGGCCGGACACTGGCCCTGCCCCTGCGGGCCCAGGCCAGATGCTGTACAGTCTTCATAAATCTGTCAGCTGTCCCAGTGCCTCGGGCGGTCACCTGCTGCGCCCCCTCCCTGCACCAGCGGTGTCTGAGGAGAGCTGCCGACTAGGAACTGGAATCTAGCTCCTTCCGAGGTCGGACCCGGGCACTACAGGCTGTGCAGGGAGCGGGGAGCCCTCCCCTAGCTCTCCCCCCCTGACTGACGGACGCCGCGGGCTGCTCCGCCGGGCGCCTGCCTCCCGGGGTCTGCGGGTTAGCGACAGCTGCGGGGGCTGGGGGTGAGGGGATAGC